ACTTTAATTTTCTTAAACACATTATATCTTAGTTGTGAGCCCATTCACAGCTCCAGGTGTTTGTGTGTTTAGAACCTCATTTCCTGTCCCCATGCTCTGCTCCCCTGAGATGACCGCTCATAACTGTTGTCTTTTCCTGGTTCTTAATGCTACGTTTACTGTCACAGGCATTTGGTGTCTTTTTCTGCCTTTGTTTTTTACACAGTGGACTCATGCTGCTCTGCGGCTTGCTTTTTTAACTTAACAGTGATAGCTTTGGCTGGTTTCCAGTGGGATCTGGGCTAAAAGGCGGGCAGCCGAGGCTCTGCAAAGAAGGGAGAGACACCGTGTGTGTGTGTGTGTGTGTGTGTGTGTGTGTGTGTGTGTGTGTGTGTGTTGAAAAGGGGTCTCATGGTGTCCCCAAAGGCCACAAGGCACGGAGGAGAGGGCTTCCTGTACAGTAGTCCCCAATATCAACCACCAGGAGGCCATGGACTCTGTCTCTGTCTCTGTCTCTGTCTGTCTCTCTCTCTCTCTCTCTCTCTCTCTCTCTCTCGCTCTCTCTCCTTCCTTCCTTCCACTTTCTTTTCTTTACCCCCATTTCTGGTTTTTTGAGGTATGGTTTCACTCTATAGCCCAGGCTGGCATAAAACTTGCGGTCGGCCCTCCTGGCCCTGTCTTCCAAGTGCTAGGATTACAGGTGTGTGCCACCATAAATAACATCCTGAGTCCCTGCTTTCTAAAACAGAGGCCACATGGTTTGTTCACCATCTCACGTCCCCCTGTCCTTAGCCCTGGGCCTGGAACAGAAGGTGCATAAGAAATCTATTCAGTGGCTTAAATCCTTTTTCTGTCCTTGGTAAAACCCCTCCTGGTCTCCACCACTCTTCCTTTAAGCCAGCTAAGATACTCTTTCAGCTGACACACAATAGTGCTGGCCCCAGGTGGAGCCCCCAAGGTGGGTCCAGTTCAGGAGCTGGGAGCCCCCTCCCCTCAGGCAAGGGGCTGTCCCTCCCAGCTGTCACTGTGCTGAGCCCTAATGAGGGCTGCACTAGTGGATCTCCTGGGCTCCTTCCAGCCTGGGGCATCAGCTTCAGCCCACCCCCTCATTTCACGGATGAGGGGCTGAGTCAAGTGTAATTTTGTCAGCTGCTTCAGAAATCCACTGGGAAGGGGGGCTTCAAGGCACCTGGGAGGCTGCTGCCTTGTACTGAGGACACCCCGTAGGCTGAATGCTTTATGTGATAGAACACTTTGCCATCGAGGAAACTGAGGCCCAGAGAGGGAGAAGAACCTCCCCAGGGTTGCAGGACTAAACTGTGTTTCCACTCGTCTGCGGGACCCCAAATGGGGAGAATCGCTACTCCAGTCAGTCAGGGGCAGAATAGGGCTGCACTTTCCATTCCTCTGGGACTCTCAGGGCGCCACCTTCCTCTTCCCCCAGACAGCCAGACTTCGGCAATTTAGGCATATGGCCGCACACTGGAGTATTGGCCAGGGAAATAGTTGACTTGCAAAATTGGTGGGCAAGGGCTGAGGTACCGGAGGCTCGTGATAAAGTTCCATGGCCCTTACCCAGCCTCTTCCCTGCCTCCGATAGTTTTGATCCAAGCTAGGGCAGATCCATCTGTATTGTTCCCCCACCCCCGCCTTAGTTCACACCTGGGATTGGGCTCCTGGGGTTAGAGTCTAGACAGACAAGAGCATCCTACTGAGACCAGAGGCAGCCCTGACAAGGGGCTGAAGGTTCCTATAGCAACAGCATCCCCCTTAGCTGGCAGCCACTTGATAAATAAATAATCAGGGTTTGGGGGTGGGGAGCTAAGGGCCAGGAGAAGGGCAGCCAGGCAGACTAGGTCTTCACTCTGGAGAGGAAACTGAGTGTGTGTGTCAGGCTTGAAGTAGTCTTGGAGAGGAGGGTTGAAGCATCCAGGTGAGAGAACCATGAATGGTGAAAGTGGTCAGGTGGGAGATTTGTCCCATTAGTGATCCCTAGACTTGAGGGTGTTAGAGATCAGGATGAAGGCTCCAGTCAGAACTGAAGTTTCTAGCTCTTGCATCTGGACACATCACGGGAGTGGTCACTGGAAATGGACCAAGTCCAGCAGGTTAGATTTACATTGAATGCTACACATGGTGGAGTGGATTTGTAAACCCTGTACTCTGGAGGCTGAGGCAGGAGGATCTCAACTTCCAGGGCAGCCTGGGCTCCATAGCAAGATCCCATGTGCAAAAAAAAAAAAAAAAAAAAAAAAAAAAAATTTTTTT